CTCTCTAGTTTAGCCATAGTTCCTACCAATTTTTAGTATACATTTGGCCTGCCTGGCTCCTATGTCTAATGAAACCATGGAGATATGTTCAGACTGAAGTTCCAAGGTTTGATTTTTCTGCTAAACAGCCACTTTGATAGCCAGGGACCAGTTTTTCAGCTGACAGCGTTATAACCTCTTCAATTAATTTCAAGAGTGTGCAAACATCTTAGAAAAAGCTATAGTAATTCCTGAGGTTGGTGAGCACTTTAATGTTAATGCTTAAAAGACAGTTCCCCATTATTTACCTCACCTGATTTAAAAAGGGCATGAGGCATGTATTTAGTGTTGAGTGAGATTCTAACAGTGATATCATTTACTCATTTTACTGAAACCTACTAAGTGGTGTATTCTAGTGATAGCTGACTAGATGGTACTCGAGTGACTCAAGAGGTACCTGCATCCCCGAGAAGTGCCACATCCAAACTGTGTCTGCATAGTTTGAAGGGAAACCTTAATCTCCAGTTCTGCTCACTTTCCACTCTTCGTACCCTGAACTGTTTCTGAAGAGTGAGAATTTCAATTTGGGCTTCCAATCTGACATTAAACAAAAGTAGGACTATGTGGGAATAGTGAAAAACTCTTTAGTGTTGGAATGGTTCCAGGAGGTCAAATCAACATTTTTGGTGAAAATTCAATTTTGTAAGCAAATAACCTTTACCTTAAGACTGAGCCCAGAAGGTAAAGACTGGACTTATTTTGCATCAAGTAACAAGGCTTTACCTTCTTTATCTTGACTCCCTGTACGATGAGCTGGGATATCATTGCTGATGTCAGGTGGATCTTAGCTAAACGCAGAGATTACCAGAAAGATATTTGCTTGTGTGTATTATAGACTATGCAAAGTCTTAGACTGTGTGGACCATAATAAGCTATGGATAACACTGCAAAGAATGGGAATTCGAGAACACTTACTGGTGCTCATGTGGAATCTGCACACTGGCCAAGAGGCAGTCCTTCAAACAGAACAAGAGGATACAGGATGGCTTAAATCAGGAAAGGTGTGTCTCATAGTGGTATCTTTCCACCATGCTTATTCAATCTGTATGCTGAGTAAACAAGCTGAGAAGGATGTGGGAAGAACGAGGCATTCGGCTTGGAAAATGTACTAACGTCTTGCAGATGCCACACTCTTGCTTGATGAAAATGAGAACTTGAAGCACTTACTGATGAAGATCAAAGAATATGGCCTCCAATATGATTACGTTTCAATGTAAAAAACAAAACAAAATCCTCACAACTGGATCAACAAACAACATCATGGTAAACAAAAAAGATTGAAGTTGCAAGGATTTCATTTTACTTGGATTTACAAATCAATGCTCATCACAGCAGCAGACAGATTAAAGCATGTATTCCATTGGGTAAATCTGCTGCAAAAGACCTCTTTCAAGTGTTAAAGAGCAAAGCCATCACTTTGAGGGGTGAGGGGCATCTGAGCCAAGCTGTGGTATTTTGAATTGTTTCATATACATGCAAACACTGGAGAAAGAAGAAGGAAGACCTGAAAGGATGCATTTTAATAAAGTGTTGGCAAAGAATAATGAACAAATTTGTCTTGAGAGATCTGCAGCCAGAATGCTCCTTACAAGTGAGGAGGGCAAGACTTCATCTCATGTACATTAGACATGTTATCAAGTGAGACTAATTCCTCCTGAAGAGCATCATGCTTGGTGGAGGGTCAGTGAAAAGGAGAAAACCTCTCACAGAGATGGACTGACACAGTGGCAATGGTGAGCTCCAACTTCACAATAGCTGGGAGGATAGCACAGGGCGGGGCCGTGTTCCATTCCGTTGTTAAGTAGGGTTGTGAGTCAGAACTGACTTCACAGCACCTAACAACTACAAGAGGGACTGGTGTGAAAAGCCTTGTACAGTGATGAGATGACTTTGAAAAGCTAACCGTGCCACCTCAAGGTGTCATTGAATATTTCCTAATTGCCTATGTGTGCTTTGCTTCTAAACTTTGAAAATTTATGGAATTAGTTTTACATGAAAACTTGAATTATCTTAGTTCTCAGCAGCCTTAGGGAATCTGATGCTGGTGGTGAGAGGGTCATATCTACTTGCAGCAAAACATTTGTGCGCCAAAGTCTGAATGACCTAACATAGATTCCTGCATGAACAGGGAAGGACCTTCTCCACTCTGCAGGTGTTTGGGGAAATACTGTTACTGCTCTAGCCTGCCTGCATTAATTCTAAAGAATTAACACACTGACTTTTTTTTTCACACTGCATTCAATAAAATAAAATGGGTCATGACTAAATAAGATAAAACTGAAACTGACTTGTTCCTTCCTTACACTTGTTGTAAGGAGTCCTGGTGGCACAGTGGTTAAGGCAGTCAGCTACTCATCAAAAGGTTGGTGGCTCTTTATAGATTTAGTATTAAGGTAGCAGAAGGACATTGGGCCTCCACTCAAGTACTCCCTCAACACAAGAATACTTTCTTCTA